GTGTCGATCTTGAATTTACATCTTGAAGTATTAATCGTGAATCCATTAATCGTAATCTTTATATAGTAAAACAATGTATTTTCAAGAGGTTTAGTACCTAAGCTTAGGTGAGGTTGTAATGTAGATTCCTTTTTCCCTATATGGGAAAAGAGAATATACATTACAGCCCCACCTAAGCTTAGGTACTAAACCTCTTGAAAATACATTGTTGTATTATATAAAGATTACGGTTAATGGATTCGCGATTAATACTTCAAGATGTAAATTCAAGATCGGCACAAAAGGGTTTAGGGTTTAGGGTTTAGATTTAGGGTTTAGGTTTAGGTTTAGGGTTTAGAGTTTCGGGTTTAGATTTAGGGTTTAGTGTTTAGGTTTAGGGTTTAGGGTTTAGGGTTTAGGGTTTAGATTTAGGGTTTAGGGTTTAGATTTAGGGTTTAGGGTTTAAATTTAGGGTTTAGGTTTAGGGTTTAGTAATGTTCACTTGGGTGAAGTAATAAACGATAATTGAGGAAAGAAAATAGGGATGGTAAAACGATAATGAAAGAAAGAAATATTGTGGAGGATGATATATTTACCAAGTGAAACCAAACCGGGTATATCTAGCATGTTAAAACGATATATTTTAAAAGTTTAGTACATAAGCTTAGGTGGGGTTGTAATGTATATTCCCTATCCCCTATATATATATATATATATATATATATATATATATATATATATTATATATATATATATATATATATATATATATATATATATATATATATATATATATATATATATATATATATATATAGTGGTTCAAAAACTATTTTTTAATTAAAAAATATTTAAAAAGTCTTTTTTAACTTTATCATGAAAATGTTCTTATCATTATAACAATTTAGAAATTTCAACCCATTAATTAGAAAAAGAGAAATAATCGAAACCTCAAGAAAACGCTACTAAGTTTCCTCATATAAAAATGTGAAGCCAAATAATAAAACAAAAGAAAAGTAGTTATTTGACTTTGGAGTTTTGGAGTGCATGCTAGGAGTCTTTTTAATGGATTTTAGATTTTTTTATGTTAACCGTAGGATATTAGGAAAATTATGTATGTCTAGTTATAAATTATAATATCAGTCATTTCTAGTAAAATAAATAAACCTATTTTTTATTTTAGTTTTCATGTATCATATTTACTTTTGCAGCTTTTAGAACTATTTGAGTAGTCACCGTCATTAACGCTTTTGCTACACCTCTTTTAGAACCATCTTTTCATTTTAAGTGTATCAAGATTATACACATTTAATCTTTACAGGTTGTTATCCTACAAAAATTCAATTTTTCTCTTTTAAATTATATGATCCTTTTAACGAAATTTATCTTTTAGAAAAAAAAAAAATCACATTTTAATATATATTAATTTTTAATATAAGATTTATATTAATTTCTTAATTTAATATTCATAATTTAATATTGTTTCATTAACAATTTAATACAAAAGTATACACAATTATAATATTCAAAAATTAATTTAATACAAAACTAAAAAAACATTCTTAATATTCATAGGTTAAAACATTAGTATATATACTCTCACATTTAACAAAAAATTTAGGAAAATATCCAGAAAAATCCTAACATTTTAGTCCAATTGATGAAAAAATCTCAAACTACCGGTTAAAACTTCGAAAAAACCCTTTTGGCCGATTTTGTAGATTTAACCGATATTTTGTCATTTTTCGTTAGTTTGCTCAAAATATTATGATTATTTTGAAAAATACGCGATAACCAAAATATTAGAACTTTTCTGAAAATTACTATGAAATTAATGGATATTATTATTAACAAGTCATTTATAAATATAACAAATATTTTTTTATTAAAAACAACGGAAATACATTTGTTTCTAATTTATAGGAATAGAATAGTCGACATGGTCTATTGTTTGTTGACCACTTCAAACTCCTTATGTTCATCCTATGTATCGTTGTGAGTGTTATAGTGAGATGTATTATGTATGTTTCTTCAATTAAATACAATAGTTGATAATATTTATTAATATACAATCAATAAGTGTCTGCTTTCTATTAGGTGTGACGTTATAGGATCAAATGTTATTAGAAAATATCATTAAATAATAATTCTTGAATATATAGATCTTTCATTATGTTCTTTAGCATAAATATCACCTAACCTCCTTACATTATTCGGTAACAACCATCAAATTACAAACTATCATTCACAATTATGTTCTTTAACGTAAATATCACCTAATTCTTGAAAAATAAACTTTGAATGACAATTTAAATAGATACTCACCCTACACTTTTTTCCATATAAACTATCATTCACGATTCATTTTTTCACATTTGATAGATGTGTGTTAGCATATGGTTGTTATCGTGTGAGGTATGAATGTTGGGTGGTAGTTAGGTTAAACAACATAAGAGGAACAGAAACACTAGAAGAACACTCACTGAGTACATATCACCATCATACTCACAACAATGCATAGGAGGAACGTAAAGAGTTTAATGTGGTTAATAAGCAATAGAGGAGTACTTAGACCACCAATTTATTCCTAGAAATTAGCAACAAGTGTATATTCTTTATTATAATAAAAATATTCGTTACGTTTATAAATAATTTTTTAATAATAATATCCATTAATCCCATGGTAATTTTCAAAAAAAATCCCAATATTTTGGTTATAAGGTAGTTTCCGAAAAAATCCTTAAATTTTAAGCAAACTAATGAAAAAAGACAGAATACCAGCTAAATCTTCAAAACTGACCGAAAAGGGTTTTTTCGAAGTGTTAACCGGTATTGTGTGCTTTTCTGTAAAAAAAAACAGTTAGTTTGGGACTTTATCATAAATTGGACTAAAACTTTGGGATTTTTCTAGAGATTTCCCAAAAATTTATGCAAAATTCATAACTTAATACAATAAGTTGACAACTTAAGATAGTACATTCACAACTTACAACTAAACACGATACATTCACAACTTACAACTAAACACGGTATAACTTAACACGGTTATATTTACAAAAGTATAAATATACATTCGCAATGTTCACAAGTTAATTTAATACAAAAGTAAGGACACATTCACAATATTCATTAAAACATTAGTACATATACTCATTGCCATTTTACATAATATTCATACAAAATTCACAATTTAATGCAATAAATTTACAACTTAAGAAAATATATGCACGACTTAAGACATTATATTCATTACTTAACACGGTAAGTTCACAACTTAACACAGTCGTATCATATTTTAGTACAAAATTTCAGACATGCATTCATAATATTAACAGCTTAAAAAACTAATTCACACTCATTTATAATTTTCAGAGCTTAAAAGTTATTCACCCTCATTCACAAAAGACTAATTAAAAAATCATTAACAGTTTAATAGACTAGTTCAAATACTTATTCAAACATATTCACAACTTAAAAGATACCTTTTTTCATTGAAGCATATAAATCAACCACCTTCAATGCATGTTATTTCTAGACATGAGAGTGTTTGTTAGCTTCAAATCTACGAGGATAGATGGTAGGAAAGTAACGGTGGTGGTGTGACGTCAATGGTGGTGGCGGTGGAGTGACATCGACGATCAGCATTAAGAAATCGTAGATCTACAGAAGGTTGGCTGAAGAGAGAAGCAGATCTAGATGTGGTCGATCATCTGGAGATGAAAAAGAAGTTCATGCTCTGATCGGGTGTTCCTATGAAGTGGATCAGAGAATTTTTTATCACATTTGGATGTCGAAAATCTGGAGACGAAGCAACTCTGGAGTTCATTTCAAAGTAGAGTGTGGCGTTTTTTTGATGATCTAGCGAAGCAGAGTAACTGATGGCAATCTAGATCTGAAAAACGGTGCTTTTCCGACGGAGATGGTTTCCGGCAGCAGTGTCAATGACTATAGTAGACAAGAGAAAGAGAGAGAATAGAGAAAATGATGGAAGAGTTGTATTTTTTGAAGAAAAAAAATAGTTATCCGATATTAAATAAATACTTAATGAAATAAGTAGACTTACACGCTAAAATGAATGGTTCTTAAAGTTCTTAACAAATTTTTTTGTTCTTATTTCATCTTTTACATATATATATATATATATATATATATATATATATATATATATATATATATATATACACACACGCATCCACACGGGGAAAGTGAATATGTAGTTTTTAGGTAAGTAAGCTTGGATGTAGAAGACATCATCGTTTTGTGAAAAATCACGCTTCTTTATTCTAGTTACTTAGAAGTATTCTAAATTGTTTCCATGTTTATGTGATATAAAGACATCGATACACTTTCTTTTTTCTCTAACTCTGATTTCTCTAATTATCTTCGTCGCTTTGGGGAAAAGAGTTAAAAATTACGTGACCTAGCTGTACCAACCTGTCTTCTCCACTGCTTCTTTCTCCCATGTATTTCTTTTTATTCCTTGATTACAACCCTTATACTCCTTGATCAATGATCACAACCCCAGTCACTCGTTTGACGTACCCATTATAAAGCTATCAATTTATTTTTTATGTAATCGTAGGTTTCTTACATCCATTTTATCTTGTATTTAATTTGGATTTGAAGTTTTTATTTGCCATAATTTGTAGGTGTGTACCACAATCAACTAGATCCTTCCATGTTTAATTTTGAAGTTTTAACTTTTTTTAACATATATTAATCTATGTTATTTGTTGGTGTTGTAGGATTGGATATACACATTTATTACGATTTTGCTGATGTACTTCTCATGAAACCATTCTAATTCAGCGAACTATTCAAGATGAGTTTCCAGGTAAAATTAGTTCAATCCTTTTAATGTCGTATATTGCTTTGTTGCTGGACCTGGTGTTATTTTAAAACCTCATGTCTTCGGTAGTTTTTTCCTATTCGATTTTGTAAGTGGTAACTTTTGTTTCCCCTCTAGTACCTCACTAGATGGTTTTAAAAAAATAGTATTTGTTTTTTTCTTGGCGTAGAACATGCAAACCATTGTTAATTTAGAAAACCAAGAAGACGTCCAATCTTATGAAACGCATATAACTGAAGATATTGGCATACATGGTCATTTGGTATCATCATCTGAAAGTGAGAAAATAAGTGATGTGGATGCCGATGAAAGTAATGATACAAGTATCATGGGAAAGATATTCAATACACGCCATGATGCATATACTTCTTATAACCGCTATGCCTTTTTACATGGATTTGGCATAAATATTCATTGGAATTATAAAAACAAGACAACAAAGGAGGTTTATCATAAGATGTATGTGTCCAACGAACAAGGTTTTAAACATTTGAAGGCTGAGAGTGCATGTGGTAATTGAAAGAAACATCGTAGAGATTTAAGGACCGGATGTGAAGCGATCTTGCAGATTTCAAAAAGAAAATATGGGAAATGGTTTGTGGTTATTTTTAATGATACACATAATGATGAGTTAAGTCTTACACCGACCAAAGTAATGAAACATCGATCTCATGGGAAGTTCCACCGCTCAATGGCATGTAAATATCTTATGATGGATCTTGGTTAATTGGGTTTGAAGCCATCTCAAATTAAAAAGGCCGTAAATGCAATGAAAAATTCATGTGAACCTAATGTTACTTCAAAATAGTGTGTTGATATCTTATCTGAGTAACAGAAACAATACAAAGGTAAGGAATTTTATGGACTTATCAAACATTTTCAAGACAAAGCATTAGTTGATCTTAACCAGTATTTTGTTGTGGATTTATTTGAGGATAGATCACCTAGAAACGTTTTTTAGGCTGATGGAAGGTCGAGGGATTCCTATTCTAAATTTAGAGACGTTTTTGTGTTTGATGTTACTTACATGACGAGCAAGTTTAAATTGCCATTTTCTCCGTTTGTTGGGGTGATCCATCATGGGCAATCCATTATATTTTCCAGTACATTGCTAGAAATTGAAAGGAAGAAACTTTGCAATGGTTATTTGAGCATTTTTTAAAGTGCATGTTCAACAAGTACCCATAGGCAATTATAACTGATCACTATAAACCAACGGGCTTCTAGCCCAACGGTATCCGGTGTTGCCCTCCCTCCTTGAGATCGAGGGTTCAAGACCCATTGTAGACATATGTGGAATAATTTAGGAGTAGTTTAGTATATATTTGTATTAGTTGTTCCAAAAAAAAGTTGATCAAGATAAGGCTATGAGTAATGCAATAAAAAAGGTTTTTCTAAACACTCTATATCGCTACTGTGCATGGCATATTAAGAAACATGAGTTGGAACATCTCCGACGGCTAGTAGCTCATTATAGTGAATTCAAAGAATCTTATTAGCAATGGGTAAAGAGTGATAAAATTGAAGAATTTAAAGCGGAGTGACAAGTTATGCGTAAAAAATATAACCTTTAAAATAATCATTGGATCACCAAGATGTATAACCAACAGGTTCATTGGGTTAAAGCGTACTTGAAGAATGTTTTCTTTGTTGGCATGACCACAAGCGAACAAAGCGAGAGCATTCATTCCTTTTTTGATGAATTTGTTAATTCCAAGACTATGTTGAATGACTTTGTAGCTAAATATGATAAAGCAATTGAGTCTCGAAGAGTCGTTGAAGAAGATGAAGACTTCAAAACTATAAACTCAAAACAGTTCTTTCTTCGGTTCATCCAATAGAAGCGAAAGCCGAAGGTTGTTATACTAGATAGATATTTGAGATTTTTAAAAAAGAATGGATAGAAGGTACTAGCAATCTAACTCATAAGACATTAAGCAAAAATGCAGAATAAATAAAATATCGGGTTGGTCAAGTGAATGTTGATAAAGCACATTGGTGACAATGCTACGAGTACCCACCTCGAACCTAGCAGCAAGTGTCCACCTAGGTAAAATATAGTGGTTAGGAAGGGTTTGAACATGTCTCAAAGATCAAGTGAATGTCACTTGTTCATGTGCTAAGTTCGAAGCATATGGCATATTATGCAAGCATTGTCTATATGTGATCAAGAAGAGACATGTTCAAACCCTTCCTAACCACTATATTTTACCTAGGTGAACACTTGCTGCTAGGTTCGAGGTGGGTACTCGTAGCATTGGAATGGATGAAATGAATAATGAAAATGAATTCAGTGCCTTAACCCTATGGTATGTCCGTGAAAATAGTAGTAAAGCAATTGAACTTGCAAAAAGTTTCCCTTCAAAGATAAGAAAACTCAATAATTTATTGGTAAATTCTTTAGAAGATGAAGTGATTCAAGATAAGCCAAATGCACCTGAAAATCCATCTCAACATTCTTGTATGTAAATTTCTTAAGTAGACATGATACCTCAGTTTTCTGTTCGGGATCCTATTGTGCTGACTAATACGAAAAGGCATCCCAAAAATGCAACCAAAATTAAGTCTTCTTTGGAGACTACGAAGAAAAAGAGAACTTGTTTTCACTGTAAGGGATTAGGTCATTATCCCACTGGGTGTAACAAAAAATGTTATTTATATATTTTTTTTATTTCCTGAATTTTTAATTAAATGCTTACATTTTTTCTATTGTAGGCGGATGAAGCTTTACAAGACAAACAATGATTTTATCCTTGAATGGTTCTAACACAACCACGTGGAAAAAAAAAATCGAAATTGTCATTGGAACATCTACAGATTTTCCTTCGGCTTTAGTTTTAGCTACAAAATCTTTAGTTTTGTTAATTTGAACTATGTCTAAAACTTATATGATGATTGAAATCTTTACACTGATTTAGTAGCTTAGGTTCTCATCTCTTTGTTAAAAGTTTTAACAGATTATACACCTCAAGTTATTCTCTTATTAATGCATTGGTATTTTTCGATTGTTTTCCATATGATAGCATCTTACTTTTAAGTTGATTCTGTTATGGAATTGTACTTCGCGTTTCGGTTCTTATTAATGATGTAGTGGAAATTTGGAATGAGTCGTTGCTCACAATTTTAGCACTACCTTAAGTACGATCCTATTTAACCGACTTCATTTTTTATTATTCTATCAGATACAAATTCTACTTTTATTTTTGTTTTCTAATCGGTAAGAACCCACTTTGAACAACCAAAATGGAAGAATTGAGCAAATCTTGCCAATAATTCACTTAGAACAATCAAAAGTTACAAGCTAATGTAAGACTAGGAGCCAATATTGCAATGAAAATAAAAAGAGTAAGACTTTTTTAACAATTCTAGAAAGATAAGAATTAGAATAATCATGCTCCTTCCACATACGATACAGGTACTAAAAAACGACATTTAGGACACTTTTTGAATAAAAGATACCAAAACTACCCTTTCTAGTTTCAACTACAATAACAATATGTAGTTCAATTCTTTACTTATTTGCTGAAAGTGATTTTTTTTGACATAAAGAGTGAAACTATAATGCCATTTAATATTGTGTGCTGTGGAGTCTATACATCTCCAAGAAGAAAAACAACCTCAAATGCTATTAAATAATAACAATAGAGAACCAGAAGACAACTAAACCTTCATCGAGGACAATACACAGTAGAAACTTTATTTGAATTATATAAGAATTCTCCAGGTTCTAAAACATCATGTATCCTCTACAACCTTCGAAACTCGACCAGGTAGTTATTTTTTCAAGCTTTAACTCATGTGGGCTTAATCTTCTAGACAAATGTATGAGCACTAGGAATGTAGGAGGTAGAATAAGAAAGTCCTCAAAATTTTGAACAAGGATATGATCCAGAAATTATTAACAAGGATACGATAGAGAAAGAAACATAACCCTTATAAATACTCGATCATCAGAGCAGGTTAGGTCAATTACTTCATATGTCGAGATGCCTATTGATCAATGGGACCAAAGTGAAATTCTTCGTACAGAGAATCCTAGGCCACCGTAGTCAAGTTTGAACTTCATAAACACTTTACCTCCACTCCTCCAATGAGGCAGGAACAAGATTAGAACCAGACGGTGATATTGGAAACATAATCGGCCGGAAAAAACCTTGTCAAGTTCGAATAAGAAGAACGATAGCCCGGAAAAATGACATTAAAATTGAAAAGGAGGAGGAGAGGAAGGAATTCATATCGATGGAGAACGAAGGAAGCCATCAGCGAAGAAGAGGCGAGAATCGAAAAATCTGGGAGCCGATTTGGATGGAACGGATACATATCATATGCTTTTTGTTTTTTTTTTTTTTTTTCTCTTTCTTTTTTATTTTCTATTATGTAAAAGTGATTTTTAATAAAAGTGGTTAGCTCATGCTTTTTAACAAAAACTGGTTTTAAAAATGTTTGGATATGAAAAACTATTTTTTCAAAGTAATTGGTTAAAAAGTTAAAAAGTTAGAATTTTCCACCTTTTTGAAAAAAAAAAATTTATATCCAAAAAATTGTTTTAGAAAGTGTTTTTTAAACGGACAAACATTTTTTTTTATCTTATTAGCATTTTAAAAAGCTAATAATTTTTTTTAAAAGTTATCCAAAACACCCACATAATTAGGATAACTCATTTAATTGATTTTTTTTTGAAAAAGACGTAGTTTTACAACTTCTATACCTAAGACGATATATATATATATATATATATATATATATATATATATATATATATATATATATATATATATATATATATATATATATATATATATATTCAGGTTTATTTGAAACCATTCTAATTTTGTGAGACCGTGAGACCAAATCTAAAAATAATTTTAAAATGAAAAATAAATGGAAAAATCCAAAAATTCTTTTTTTAAATATTATTTTCGGAACTTCAATCATCTAAAAAAAATAAAAAAAATTAAAAAAAATCCCGTTTTTTTTAAATACGTGAAATATTCTAATAGAATATTACATTGACATATTCTTTAAAATACAAAATAAATGTAAAAATCTAAAAAAAAAATTTAATATTATTTTCGGAACTTGAATTAACTAAAAAAAATAATAAAAATAATAAAAAATAATAAAAAATTCTATTTTTTTTTAAATACGTGAAATATTCTAATAGAATATTACACTATACATACTCTAAAAAATAATTTTAAAATGCAAAATAAATGTGAAAATTCAAAAAAAAAAATTTAATATTATTTTCGGAACTTGAATTACATGAACCTATATATATATATATATATATATATATATATATATATATATATATATATATATATATATATATATATAACGCACATATGATTTTGCGTGTACAATGCTAGTTTCACTCACAAGATAATAAAAAAATACCATAATTAAAAAATAATTAGGTTTGATACTAATTTTAAGTTTAATACTAAAATTATTAAAAGAAAACAACAAAACATGTTTTATATATATATATATATATATGACATGGAAAAATTATTA